GTTTTATTTGTTCACACAAACAACTAATATACACGTCTCTCTTTTCATTTCGCTGCACCACAACATCTAGAATTGATTAAACGCACTGGCCGTTGATATATTCATTTACGGTACCAACGAACACTCAAAGTAAAGCAACATATATATCATAAATGAATTCCACTTTTAACATTTCGAGAATTCTGTTGCGTCGACATTTTCACTTTACTGTGCTTTTTGTGAAATAAACAGCACTGCATAATCCAATATCATCGAGCATATGTGATTGTTACACAAAAGTATGCAGTAGCCAGTAGCAATGTTGTTACAGCAAATAGTTGACAGTTGTGGCTATAAATTTTTTTAAAAAATTATGTTTCAAATAAAATATTGATTTTTTTAGTTAGTACAACGACCCTTATAGCATGGACCTTATTAGTAGCAAAGTATGTAGCATCTTATAATAAAAATAACCCCCAAAAAACCGATGACGTTCTTTTCTTAACATCAGAATGTTACTTTAGAATGTGATTGTAGGGAGGGTTGGTATTGCGTAGAGAACATTTGAAGCTCACGGCAAGAATGCGTGATACGTAATACGTGCAATGATTACGGTAGGCGTGCAACATGACAAGAGTGTTTGATCTGTAAAATGGCTTACGTGTTCTGTGAAATGGCAACAGTGCTCAGTAACGCAGATTAATAATTTTGAGTTTTATATTATTTCAATCCAAACACGTATTCGGTTTCATTTCTCATTTTCCTCTTACAGCGGCAGTGCCATCAAGGGTGCCAAACCAGACCGCACTCTCTCGTCAGCATCGTTTCGCTAGCTTGAACGTCTGTAAAGTTAGTCATTTGTTTTAAGTTAATCTTGAGCAAAATATGAAACATGGGAAGGCTTATAACGTTAAAAAACAAATTGGATAATTTAGACGGACAAATCATGAAATTCGGTGTTTTCAAAAACTCGCCCCAGACCCCGTTGATCAACTGACCAAGCTTTGGATACGTCTCGGCTATTTTATATATGATATGAATGCTCACAACTTTAGATGAATTGAGTTGGGCAGACAGAGCTAATTGGTTGTGATATATGTCGCATATAAACTCTTACTTTTAAGACATTGATAAATAATAAAGAACATAGTTCTCTCACAATTCAACGACGGGTCAAAACCTCCGGTGTTGTACAGAAGAAGAGAAAATGACTGTGCACTAACATGACGTCACAAAACCAAATGTTTGCGTGATATCAGTTATTATACTAGATACGTGAACAACTAAATTACATAATAAGTACATAAAAAGTAGCTATTAATTTACGAATAGTAGCTATGTCGTCTATTCAATGTCACTGTCCACTTCTGAGAGCTCTTCGATGTTTCCATCTCCAGTATCGGATTCCTCATACGTTGAGCTTTCGGATTCATTGGAAATGTTGACATCATTGGTTAAGTTGACAATCTCAGCCTGGAGAAGAAAAGTTTTTACATGTGGAAGTTCAAAACTTTTCTTCAAGCTGAACAACTCATTCCGCAATTTGGTTTTAAATCTTATCAGTTCATGCTTTGATCCAAGCATGAATTCATCGCTGCTCAAACCACCAAGATCAACAAGTGCTTCCTGAATTGTTGAGCTAAGATTGGTGTAATACAATAGAAGCCTTTCCCTTTCCAAGTTTAAAAGTTTCTCCTTCTCGTCACATCGTTTTAGGATTAAGTAAATTTCAATAGCCTTCCTCTTTGTGTATACTTGGACCGAGGCTTCCCCTAGAATGTCATCCTCACCAGACTCAAATCCCTCATAAAGGTCTGATGTAGGATCTTTCGCTTTGTCAAATGTCAGACGATCGGGTAAACTGTTTATAAAATCACGAAGAGAATCAATGGCAGCATTGTGTTTCTCAATTGTTAATTTCATCTTGTTCGTGATCTTGGTGATTTGCCTGGACAAGCGAGTGGCAATTTTCTGACCATCTAAACAAGTAAAAGGAATACAAAATTAACATTTACAAGAACAACAAAAGACAGATATGGTAACATAGCTTAGGTAACAAGTATTCGAAATTTACTGTGAATTACAGTACCTGCATACTTCTTTCTCAATGTTATTAAGAAATGCCTTCCGATGGAAAGTCCATGTAAAGCTCCGATAGTATCTTTTCGTTTTCTTTGTATGACTTGCAATGCAACGACGTCAAAATTAGGATGACCAGGTTTCCATCTTTCTTTTACAGAATGCTTTCGTTCAATATCTTTTAAAGCCTGTCGAAACCTGTCTACATAAATTTTGCGCGTATGTAAAAAAAAACTTTAAAGCAAAATATTTCTTTGACACATTTATATATACTTGTATAGTTTTTTCGACATCTGATGAATTGAGTAATCTTCAGGGTTATCTCCTGGTTTTCTTCAAAACATCCGAATGATGTAGCACTAAGAATTTAAATAATTCACCAATTAGGCTCGAAAGAAATATTAAAACGTCTATAAGCATGTATTATAGAGAAACAGCCAGTTTAGTACATTAAAAAACCTACCTTAGTTGTTTAAAATGCAGTAGCTTTTGAGCGTACGTCACTTTCCAGTTCTCCATGGTTTCTTTACGTTCTGTATTTAAAGGACACATGCAAGCTAGAAGACAACTTTATTTTATTGTAATGCCTATAGCGTGAAAATAAGACGTACCAAGTTTCAAAGTCATCCGCAAAATATTTCAAAAGATATTTTGGGTTATAATCGGTAAAAACACGATATTCGATGACCATTGCTAAAACGCCGTTAAGTCTGGCAACTGGAAAAGAGAGACGTTTTAGTTGACATAAACAAGCATCGTTCTTACATCGTTCTACGACCTGCACGCAGTGCTTGCACGGCTTTCGGTAGTTTGCTATTACTGTTTTTTATTTATCAAAAATTAATGGATTCTTCTGAAGAAGATGCCGATTATGATATTGTTATCAATAACAATGAGGTACAACCTTACATGTTTGAGCCTTTGGCCAACGTGCAAGGTGGTCATAGTAATGACAATTCTCCGTCATCGGAAAGCGAAGATAAATACATTCACAGAATTGGAAATGTTGAATGGTTAGTTGCATTTTATTGATTCTTCATAGTTTTTCCCAAAATAAAAACAATGTTTTTATCTTTAGGTGCGACTGGGGCTTTTGTGTGGTCATGAGTACAGGACGGGAAAGTATATGTTGCCAAGAGGTAAACAATACTGATCCTCTGATACATGGCGATCATATTTGTATCACACAAGAGGAAGAGTTTGCCACAGTGTGTACAAACGAAGCTGTCGTAAAAACAGCTATGGTCGTGTACACACATGACATTGGACCTATGCCTGAGAGTGAAGAAAACGAGTGAGAGTCTGATTCATTGTAGCTATTGCTCATCGTCGACGTGCTTTCTGTATCAGACCATACAGCGCTATCCTCAAAATATTCAATTTCACATGACGTCGTCTGTGTGCTATGACTTTTTGTTGAAATTAACTCAACCTTTAGATAAAATTATCGTATTGCTGGATTTTTCACGAAAATCAAAACGGCCGAAATGGAAAGTCTATACCTCTACTTATCATATTTGGCACTTTTGTTTGAGTGGTTCTTAACCTTACGTGTTTATGCGGACGGATTGTTATGGCTGCTTGGCATTTCACATTGTGCTTCTAAGGTACGTTAAGGAATTTGCTATGAGTTAAAATAACAAAGAAAAGATCAAACGACATTAGTCTGAGTAAGTTACCACTGTATATGTTTGTGTTTCGCTGTCTACGTATATTTTGACATCTTTATCTTAGACAAACTTCCTTTGAGGTAAAACGCACAAACATTTCTAGCCGATGTCGACACATCGTGGTCGTCGCCTACAAGAAAGTCGTCATGTTCTGCAAGAACGTCGTCAATAATCTAAAATTATAAAATTGTCCTCAATTTGGTAATGCTATATAGCTTAGTTTTTGACAAATGTAAACGAATATTGCTAACTATAACTATAATAATCACCTCTTGCCTTCGTCTCTTCTCAAATGCAGTTCTAACATTTGTTGGCTGCTTCCTTTTAGATGCTACACTTGTGGGTTCCACAGAGTATTATAAAATCGTGGATACAGCATCCTTCTTAAGGCGAAGCCGTCCTGCTGTCCATCGTATTGATTGCATCGCTTCAAAATTTTGCACGAAGCACGAACTCTCGAAATGTTGCGAGCACAATTTTGAGCTCTTTGTTGTCTTCAAATTTTTGCGTCGGATTTTTTCAATCCAAATATGTCGCATGCGCTTGTTTTCGGGAAACGAAAAAAGAAACCTTTTGCTGCGTTTGGTGGTTCTTAGAAGAACCGTTTTTATAATTAAATGCGGCACAATAAACCATATTTTCAATGCTAAATTGTCGTGTTGTTGATGCAGGCAAAGAAGTTACCAATATATTTTGAACGAAGCACGCAATTGACCGCGTTTAGCTCATGTCAACTATTACGTCACAACGACCATTTTCCAATCGGTAGCCGTCGTTAGCTTGTCGGGCATTTTTTATTAGGTTATCAGTAAACCATCAACTTTAAACCTACATATCTTCAAAAATATTTATCCTTTGAGTCTCAAACTTTGGTGAACTATTACTTGGAGCTATACCTTTATGTAAAGTACAAAAATAACAATCCGAATTTTATGTTGCATGTGTCCTTTAAAAAGTACGTCTTTAAATCCTACAGACTGAATTGTTAAGAATGAAACTATTGCCATGAATAACATTATATACCTGGGTAGACTCTTGACATAATTTCCTTCTCTCTGGCCTCCCACTGACAAACAATTTCAGTATCGTACGTCACTAACAAACAAAAGAAATTCGTATTTCCTACGATGCAAATTGAATTGAGAGTTTGGTTAGGCAAAAAGAAATCTTAAATACTTTTCGGCCACAGAAAACATAAGAAATTTCTAACCTACCAGAACTACTTACCAGGTAGTTCGCTAAACAAATCCTTCATTTCTTGTTTCGCTTTAATTTTAAGTTGTAGACATTTTTTAAGCTTCGACGTTAACGATTTTCCTTAAACAAATCATATACAGAAAATTAAAACAATCAAGGCGCAACAAACAAATAAAAACATTTTTATTGTGTCAACACATAGTTACACATAAAGCAATGACAATATTCAAGCACCTGCATTGCTAAAATTTCTTCAAGATAAGTGAAGAAGCGCGTCTGTCAAAAGATCTACTCTTCTACTGGCAGACATCTCCTTAGTAATTTCTGAGAGCCCACGAAGGTAAGCCCAGAGCCTTTCAATAGCCTCACCATCTGTAAGACCAAAATCATCGAGCCTTCTAGGACTGAACTTGAACTGTTTTTTTAAAGACGTTAAAAAATAATATTTTACTTACTGGGGCTTTTTATCAAGGAAGAAACCAAAGCAGAAAAGATTGTCTTTCTTCAATCGCTACATCATTACCCAGGGATGTACTTTTCTGGAGGGAGGAGGTGCTCTAGTTTGATTAAGATTCTAGTGGCTGCTTGTTGCCGTAACATGGAAGACATTTTTCGTTAAATGTTGTTACTTATATACAATGATTGGAGATTTTTTAAATAGTGCTCCATAAATCCCAATTACGATCGCTTGATGGTTTGATATACATAAATTTCTTAGGGAAACTGCCATCTCCACTCCTCATCCATCTCCACCAATCAAGGCTTGATGAGACCACATTCCTCCGCTATCCCGCTTCTTAATCCATCACTGTCATTACCAGGTACAAAGCTTTATTTATTACCTGGCATGAAGCCTTGTGTCCATAACAATGAAATATCGGCACCGAAATTGACACTTTTTAAAAATGTCATGCCTCTTGTTTGCCTAGAACTGTACCACTTTATTCAAAGTTTAGTTGGTGAATGAACTTTTCCCGCATCATACATGCCGACATTAAAATACCTTTAAATATGATGATAATACACATCCAATATCATAAATTATTTTTAAATCAACACCAGGACTTTGGTCAGCACCTGACGATTTGTTCTCCATACTACCTCATCAAAGATCAACAACATTAATAATTACGTGCAAACCAATGCTAAGACATTAACCTTCCCCAATATTTAGTGCTGAAAAATCGTCCAGGGTGTGAATGCCGACTGCAACAACTACCAAACACTCCTTTTTCATCAAACAGTTGATTTTTTCCTTTGGAGTGAAGTGCTTCTGTAACTTGTCCAGCCTTAAATATCTGACAACTCTAAAATAAGGTGGAGCACATTATAGATTAGCGCATATATAACAATTGTTTTATTACTGTAAAAATAAACATGACAGTTTACACAATCAAGTCATAGACCATGCATAAACATGATAAATTAAAGGAAAAGAAAAAAATTTGCTGTTTGTAATTTTGATTTTAAATCCACGTAACGTAGCTACTTTCTTATGTATGAGGGCCCATGGACCTTCATGAAGCATAGACCCACTTTTCTCAGGGGCAAAGCCTGCCCAATCTTTTACTCTTACAATGCAAATTTTTCAGCAAAATTGTTAATAATTTCTTTAGAAAATCAAATCCATTCATTGTTTTTCCAAAATTGTTTGATTGAATACAAAAATATTTGCAATGTAAAAGTAAAAGTGCTGGCTTTGCCATTGCTTTTCATTGGACTAGATATAAAGTTTGTTTTCAAAGTATTCACTCCCCCTCCCCCTTCACAGATTACTTTTGAATAGGCTTCAAAGTCCTTCATGATGCAATAATTAGTTCTCCTACTTTGTTATTAGACTTGCTATATTGATCGACAAAATCAACTACCTCATCTTGATCAGCAAACTTAAGGGAGCCATGGTTTGGGACGGCAAAACTATTCCCTGCCAACTTTTTGCAACTTAGACCAAAGCAAGCATCCATGGAATGAATGGCCACACCTAACTCACCAGTCTAAAGCAAACAAAGCTCTTTAATTAAATGAAATGAATTTTATGGTAAGCATGTAACACTTCATATTTGACAACAACTTTAAATGTTCTGATAATATATGTGACAAAAAATATATAATTTAAAATAGTTCACAAAGCAAATAGTAGAAAAAAAAGAAATCAAATAAAGACTTGTGGGCAAAGACGGCAATTTCTATAATCAATCATGTCTTTCTGTATAAACTTTAATAATAATCTGACTTGGTGTTTGAAATATCTGACAAAAAAATCAAATTCTTAAATGATATTATATACAGTCAAACCTCTTGTATCAAATGACCCTGTACTAAGCAGATACTGTGTAAAATCCAAAACTTAATCTCATATAGCTCATAATAATGAAAGTATAATGATGAAACCTCAATCAAGCTGACACTTTCATTAAGCTGACACAAGTCTGTTGTCCAATGGTGTGAACTTAAAACAGGTTAGACTGTACTACTCTACACATACATGTATAATCCAACTATTAGGTTTACAATAACTGTAAATAGACTTTTGTTCTATAACATATAACGTACCTGTATTCATCGAATGATCCATTGTTTAACACATTATATATGTCTTTCACCTTAACAAGAACAAAATGAACACCTAGTAAACTAGTGCATTTGCTTCAAAAATGAAATAAGGTTGAATACACAATGTCATAACAGCAAAGGAAACTTCACGTACATTATGAATGTGCTCTTATCTTATTTGAGGCAAATACGCATTATTTATGTTGTTTGCAAATAACAGTGATTCAATAAAATTTTTTGCAAAGTACAACCCATTTATTTCCACTATTTGATGGGTAGACTATCACATGGGTACACAATACAGGTTTATGATAAATACATACCAGTCTAGGTAGCATTTCAAGATATTCAACTTCAACAGTGCTGCAAAATTTGTGCAAGGATACATGGCTCTCAAGCAAGAATTTTTCAGCAAAATCCATGAAGTCAAAGTGAAATGCAATTCTGGGTTTAGAAGATGAGCCTGGCCACAGCTGGAGTTTAATTAGTTTTTCAGCATCCTTAATACACAGACAGAAATCAACAATTTTTAAATGCTGCCGACCTAAATTTTGTATGAGATTAAAAATTGGATTAATTGATATGCAAATAATTAACATAGAAATTATTGGCCTAAATGAAGCTAATACTTAACAGTATGACTAACATATACACATTTACATATAGTCAAAGTCAAAATACTGTCATTGTTGCCATACTGTACCTTTTCCATCCACACATATTATAGTATAGGATTCTGTTGAAGAGCAGTTACCATGCTGACTGTCACGTAATATACCAACAAAGTAACAGAACAAACATTTCACAATCAGTCTAAAGAGTAGTTATTTACAAGGGTTGACAAAAATTAATTGAGTTTCAATTAATTGCAATTATTTGTAACCAATTAATTGATTGGAAAAAGCATCAATTAAAACTAATTGATTGGGCGCACCTCCAATTAAAATTAATTGATTGGCATTAATTGATTGTATTTGTATTCTTGTTAGATTTCTATTTTTTTTTTTTGTAGGCCTACACTTTCGAAAAACTCGAATTATGCCATGTTGACATTACATTTTATATTTTCTTCTTCGCTTTTTCATTCTTAATGGGAATCCTAAAACTTATAGAACCTAAATGTGTGGCCTATGACATAGAGAAAAAAGTTAAATATATTTACTGTTGCTATACCTATTGCTATTGCCTGTACAATAGACCTACCTATTTCTATACGATATTAGCATTAGTGTGCGTTCTAAAATTAATCAAAAATTGGGTTGTAAAAAATTAATCGAGTTTCAATTAATTGCAATTATTTGTAACCAATTAATTGATTGGACAAAGCATCAATTAAAATTAATTGATTGTGCAAAACTCCCACTTTCAATTAATTGATTGGGCAGACCAATTTAATTCAATCAATCAACCCCTGGTTATTTAAGCATCAGAACATGTATACATTACATAAGGCACCATGCACAGCATATAGTAGCATATCATTCTTGAAAATGATTGATAGTTTTAACAAAATACTACAGATTAAGTTACTTTAGAGTTAAGACATGGTTGTAAAAAATTGCCAGCATTTGATGAATACTAGAGCTTAACAAGCCAAATTCCAAATGTAAAAAGCAAAAATATTTCATCTGAAAAATTGACTTTTGGAAATAATCACCTAGAATTGCCTTCTAATAGACGACTTAACTTGTTTATGTTTTGCTGGCAGACAAATTTTAAAGGGATTCATCTGTGACGCCAGAAAGAATTAAACTTAGCTTCCATACTTCAACCAAATGGAAAACATTCCTCGTTCGATGAAGGGATTCCGCACACTCAACAGTAGAACTGTCCGTGACCGCAATCACGACATCTAATTCTGCTTTCTTTGCTGGTATCCCATCTTCTACACATTTTACGTAGAGTTGTCCTGGTAACATGGCACCATTTTCGATGTACGACTTTACTAAATTATCTTGCAAACACTTTCAGGATTCGCATTCATTCACTCTCCTCCTTTCATATCGAGATCCAGTTCCACGTAAATTATTTGTACCTTCGTTAAGGTTTTCTTGAAAGCCTTCAAATGTATCGATCGTACGAACTGGAAGAACAACATTAGGAGAGAGAGAAATATTTTTCCTACTAAGTTTCCCAGCCGCAGAGTATGTCTTCACAGTCAAAGAGTATGGTTTTACCTGCGTTTCCCGCTCCTACTAGCAGTGTCCTCACACTAACAGTGTCCGGAGATATTGAGGTCAGGAGAGACAAACATAGCCTTTAGATAGCACAGAAAGCAATATGAATTGGCTATCTTCCGCATTCTAAAGTTTAGAGCTCTGAGTCATACCCATTTAGAATGAGCGAAACGGGTGAATCCAATGGGTCAAGTCATCATTTCCCTTAATTTTAGCCTACTTTGTTAGTTTTTTTTGTGACAGATTTAGACAAATTCCACACATTATAATGATTATATTGGTGATCAATATGAGGGTGCTTGTTTTTCATAGCACTGGCAATTTTTAACCCAAATGTGACTTAAAAGAGGGAAATTATGTACAAATAACTAGGAAACTAAAAGTTCATACTTTACGTCAAGGAAACTACACCTAAACTCTATGCACGAAAGGCTAATTTTACAATGGTTTTATGTAGGATTATTTTCTAACCTTAATGAATCTAAATTACACAACCATGTTTTATTATTATTCAATGTTGTTCATGGCAATAGACTGGTTTCACATCAGTAAAAACTGTTGTTAAGGTTGAATTCGGAGGACAAGCAAACGAAGCAAACGGCATTACAGCACAGTTTCCACACAAATAAACCTTCATATTTTCTAAGAAATAATATTAATCGATATTTATATTCTATATGTAGTGCGGAAACTGTGCAATAATGGCCTTTATGGATGTGAAGCCGTTCTATTAAAACAGAATACAAATAACCAGCTCAATACTTGCATGTATACTGTAAAAGTTGCTTGTGTATATAACTATGAATAAAAAATTCTGACGTTTCAAAAAGAAACATTTTGTTTTTAGGAAAAGCAAGTTTGTTATGACTGTGCAATGACTTTACATAGAGCTTTGAGCAGCAATTGACGATATGACGTCAAATACAAGCGACTGACATATTTCTGCTCCCACGCACCGGATGCCCTAGTTGCAGCATTTCAACTCATTTTTTGTGAAAATATTGAATCAAACAAACAAAAAAATTGCCGCATATTTATTTTTACGGGACAGACAAAATTTTAAGACCAACATTATGTGAGGGTGGAGTTCGCCTTTAATAGAACTCCAAGCTTTTGTGATTACCATGTTTATGAATAATAAAATCATTCTGAAATAATTGAGTAATGTTTTTCAGTAAATATTCACTTCGTTTTTTACTTTTCATTGCCATCATAAATTCATCATAAAAATGATTACAAGCCTTCTCAAAACAGTAGATTTGTTACAAAAGCTTGAAGTTATCGGGTTTTCAAAAATTCTACTGTAGTTCATTGGAATTCATGTCTTTTAACGAGTATAGCGTCGATATTGACCGCGGTAGCTTCAAAGTACTAATATTGGTTGCATCCTTTTTATAAGATAAGAAAATATTGCCAAAAATCAGAAATGAAGCAAATGCAAACACACTGTAGCCAAACCAACTCGCTACAATTATTGATCAACTTGGTTTTACAACACCTAACGATATATTTCGACATATTTCTCCACTGTGATTGGCTTGAGGTGAGCATAATCTATCTCATACGACACAAAAAATACAGCATTGGTGAGAAATTTAATTTGGAAAGAACTATGAATAACGTTTATTGTAAGTCATTGTAAATCGTTAAAACTTGCGTTTCTAAATATATTACACATCGTACTATAAGTCAACTGGAATTATAGCAGCACAAAGTATTATCTAAGAGGCATTGTTGATTGAGATGTGTTGCCACAATAAGTGTTTTTCGATATTGATTTATAGTGTATTAAAACGATGCGTATCATAATAGAATAGATATCTCTAAAATTACAACAACATCTGCTAGAGATAATCAATAAAAATCAGCGAATAAAGAAAAGAGTTGTTTCAAATAACTTTGCCATCCAAGGTGAATGCTAAAAGCTAATTCTATGATTATCTATTTTCTATCTTTAAAAACAAACTTTTGGCACTTGCTGACTAAATTATATAAGTCGTAATAAATCGTCCTCATTTTTACACGAATAATTACGTGTATTTAAAAGTGTAATTATGATATAATCAAGGATTAGACGTACAGGAGTCAGTCTGCAGTGTTGTCACAGTAGGGTGTTTTTCGATATTGTTTTATAACGTAATGAAACGACGCGTATAATAATAGTATAGCTTTCTCTAAACTTACAACAACATCTGCAGAGATTAACAATATTAATCAGTGAATAAAGTAAAGAGTTGTTTCAAATAACTTTGCCATCCAAGGTGAATGCTAAAAGCTAATTCTACGATTATCTATCTTCTATCTTTAAAAACAAATTTTTGCCACTTTGCTGACTTAAACAATTTAAGTCGTAATAGATCGTGCTTATTTTTTACACGAATAATTACAAAAAGACTAATTGTATCAATGATTAGAACTATTAGTCGTTTATAAAAGTTAATATATGTGAGAATTTTTTGGATAAAATTTGTATTGATAAAAAGTATTTTTGCTTTAATGTTATGAGGCGGTAGAAATGAGGTTACTTTTAGCATTGGCATTAAGGTGCATCCTGATTAAAAATCCTCGTAAATTTTATAGACGCATAGCCCCAGTAGGGTCACCAGGTTGTTCAGAATAGTGGGGACGACGCAACCGTCAAAGATGTGAGACTTAAACGGTAGTAACAAAGCATGCGCTTTTAAAAAAGTCTTAAGTGTTGCTATATGTTCACTATGACGCTATTCCATTCAGACAGGTTTCACAAAGATATAACTTTAGCTCTACGTATTTAAATGGGTAATTATGATAAAATCAAGGATTAGACGTGCAGGAAACTGCCTGCAGTAAGTCCTTCTGGGAATACAGTGGTCTACTGCCAATCGAGTCATACCGCGCATTAGTCTTACAAGTGTGTAATTTAACTAGTTTAACAAGTACAATAGTGTTTTCAATATTTGCAGATGCAAAAGGCGATACACGCTGACAAATATAGATATATAGGTATCTAATTTTTATCTTATATTTCTGGAAACAAATCTGGATCATATTTGAATAATCGTTGTAGAATATTATGCGTATATAGCACACGATGAAATATTATTTAACGGTACAAAAATGTTTGTAACAATATTAAATATAGCATTTAATGGGGTCATATAGTGATAAAACTGTGAAATACGTGGTATCTTTCTTATGTATGTTCACTCTTTTGCACTTAACCTTTTAATTGCTTAATGATGTCTTTTTGTATAAAGATTTGCAATATGATCAATGAATTTTAAAATCAATAAATATTAAAGTAAATGTAGCTAAAAGAAACGACATTGCAGTTAAACAACAAATACGAAATTTCTTTTAGTGAGAATTATTCTATTTACGATGCCAGTCAAGGTCAATAGAACTCCAAGCTTTTGTGATTACCATAATGTTTATGAATAATTTAAATCATTCTGAAATAATTGAGTAATGTTTTGAAGTAAATATTCACTTCGTTTTTTACTTTTTATTGCCATCAGAAATTCATCATACAAATGATTACAAGCTTTTTCAAAACAGTAGATTTGTTACAAAAGCTTGAAGTTATCGGGTTTTCAAAAATTCTACTGTAGCTTATTGGAATTCATGTATTTTAACGAGTATAGCATCGATGTTGACCGCGGTAGCTTTAAACTACTAACATTGCTTCCTTCCTTTTTATGTGATAAGACAATATTGCCAAAAATCAGAAATGAAGCGAATGCAAACACACTGTAGCCAAATCAACTCGCTACACTTCTTGATCAACTTGGTTTTACAACACCTAACGATATATTTCGAGATATTTCTCCACTGTGATTGGCTTGCAGGTGAGCATAATTTATCTCATACGACCCGAGAAATACAGCATTGGTGAGAAATGTAAACTTGGAAGAACTATGAATAACGTTTATTGTAAGTCACTGTAAATCGTTAAAACTTGCGTTTCTACATATATTACGCATCGTACTATAAGTCAACTGGAGTTATAGCTGCACCAAGTATTATCTAAGTGACATTGTTGATTGAGATGTGTTCCCACAGTAGGGTGATTTTCGATAATGATTTGTAATGTAATGAAACGACGCGTATCATAATAGTATAGCTTTGTCTAAAATTACAACAACATTTGCAGAGATAAACAATATTAATCAGTGAATAATGTAAAGAGTTGTTTCAAGTAACTTTGCCATCCAAGGTGAATGCTAAAAGCTAATTCTATGATTATCTATCTTCTATCTTTAAAAACAAATTTTTGGCACTTTGCTGACTAAAACAATTTAAGTCGTAATAGATCGTGCTTATTTTTTACGCGAATAATTACAAAAAGACTAATTGTATCAATGATTAGAACTATTAGTCGTTTATAAAAGTTAATATATGTGAGAATTTTTTGGATAAAATTTGTATTGATAAAAAGTATTTTTGCTTTAATGTTATGAGGCGGTAGAAATGAGGTTACTTTTAGCATTGGCATTAAGGTGCATCCTGATTAAAAATCCTCGTAAATTTTATAGACGCATAGCCCCAGTAGGGTCACCAGGTTGTTCAGAATAGTGGGGACGACGCAACCGTCAAAGATGTGAGACTTAAACGGTAGTAACAAAGCATGCGCTTTTAAAAAAGTCTTAAGTGTTGCTATATGTTCACTATGACGCTATTCCATTCAGACAGGTTTCACAAAGATATAACTTTAGCTCTACGTATTTAAAAGGGTAATTATGATAAAATCAAGGATTAGACGTGCAGGAAACTGCCTGCAGTAAGTCTTTCTGGGAATACAGTGGTCTACTGCCAATCGAGTCATACCGCGCAATAGTATTACAAGTGTGTAATTTAACTAGTTTAACAAGTACAATAGTGTTTTCAATATTTGCAGATGCAAAAGGCGATACACGCTGACAAATATAGATATATAGGTATCTAATTTTTATCTTATATTTCTGGAAACAAATCTGGATCATATTTGAATAATCGTTGTAGGATATTATGCGTATATAGCACACGATGAAATATTATTTAACGGTACAAAAATGTTTGAAACAATATTAAATATAGCATTTAATGAGGTCATATAGTTATAAAACTGTGAAAATACGTGGTATCTTTCTTATGTATGTTCACTCTTTTGCACTTAACCTTTTAATTGCTTAATGATGTCTTTTTGTATAAAGATTTGCAATATGATCAATGAATTTTAAAATCAATAAATATTAAAGTAAATGTAGCTAAAAGAAACGACATTGCAGTTAAACAACAAATACGAAATTTCTTTTAGTGAGAATTATTCTATTTACGATGCCAGTCAAGGTCAATAGAACTCCAAGCTTTTGTGATTACCATAATGTTTATGAATAATTTAAATCATTCTTAAATAATTGAGTAATGTTTTGAAGTAAATATTCACTTCGTTTTTTATTTTTTATTGCCATCAGAAATTCATCATACAAATGATTACAAGCTTTATCAAAACAGTAGATTTGTTACAAAAGCTTGAAGTTATCGGGTTTTCAAAAATTCTACTGTAGGTAATTGGAATTCATGTCTTTTACCGAGTATAGCGTCGATATTGACCGCGGTAGCTTTAAAGTACTAATATTGGTTACATCCTTTTTATAAGTTAAGAAAATATTGCCAAAAATCAGAAATTAAGCAAATGCAAACACACTGTAGCCAAACCAACTCGCTACAATTATTGATCAACTTGGTTTTACAACACCTAACGATATATTTCGACATATTTCTCCACTGTGATTGGCTTGAGGTGAGCATAATCTATCTCATACGACACAAGAAATATAGCATTGGTGAGAAATTTAATTTGGAAAGAACTATGAATAACGTTTATTGTAAGTCATTGTAAATCGTTAAAACTTGCGTTTCTACATATATTACGCATCGTACTATAAGTCAACTGGAGTTATAGCAGCACAAAGTATTATCTAAGTGGCATTGTTGATTGAGATGTGTTGCCACAATAAGTGTTTTTCGATATTGATTTATAGTGTATTAAAACGATGCGTATCATAATAGTATAGATATCTCTAAAATTAAAACAACATCTGCTAGAGATAATCAATAAAAATCAGTGAATAAAGAAAAGAGTTGTTTCAAATAACTTTGCCATCCAAGGTGAATGCTAAAAGCTCATTCTCTGATTATCTATTTTGTATCTTTAAAAATTAAACTTTTGGCACTTTGCTGACTAAAATATATAAGTCGTAACAGATCGTCTTTATTTTTACACGAATAATTACGTGTATTTAAAGTGTAATTATGATATAATCAAGGATTAGACGTACAGGAATCTGTCTGCAGTGTTGCCACAGTAGGGTGTTTTTCGATATTGATTTATAATGTAATAAAACGACGCGTATCATAATAGTATAGCTTTCTCTAAAATTACAACAACATATGCAGAGATAAACAATATTAATCAGTGAATAAAGTAAAGAGTTGTTTCAAATAACTTTGCCATCCAAGGTGAATGCTAAAAGCTAATTCTATGATTATCTACCTTCTATCTTTAAAAACTAATTTTTGCCACTTTGCTGACTTAAACAATTTAAGTCGTAATAGATCGTGCTTATTTTTTACACGAATAATTACAAAAAGACTAATTGTATCAATGATTAGAACTATTAGTCGTTTATAAAAGTTAATATATGTGAGAATTTTTTGGATAAAACTTGTATTGATAAAAAGTATTTTTGCTTTAATGTTATGAGGCGGTAGAAATGAGGTTACTTTTAGCATTGGCATTAAGGTGCATCCTGATTAAAAATCCTCGTAAATTTTATAGACGCATAGCCCCAGTAGGGTCACCAGGTTGTTCAGAATAGTGGGGACGACGCAACCGTCAAAGATGTGAGACTTAAACGGTAGTAACAAAGCATGCGCTTTTAAAAAAGTCTTAAGTGTTGCTATATGTTCACTATGACGCTATTCCATTCAGACAGGTTTCACAAAGATATAACTTTAGCTCTACGTATTTAAATGGGTAATTATGATAAAATCAAGGATTAGACGTGCAGGAAACTGCCTGCAGTAAGTCCTTCTGGGAATACAGTGGTCTACTGCCAATCGAGTCATACCGCGCATTAGTCTTACAAGTGTGTAATTTAACTAGTTTAACAAGTACAATAGTGTTTTCAATATTTGCAGATGCAAAAGGCGATACACGCTGACAAATATAGATATATAGGTATCTAATTTTTATCTTATATTTCTGGAAACAAATCTGGATCATATTTGAATAATCGTTGTAGGATATTATGCGTATATAGCACACGATGAAATATTATTTAACGGTACCAAAATGTTTGAAACAATATTAAATATAGCATTTAATGGGGTCATATAGTGATAAAACTGTGAAAATACGTGGTATCTTTCTTATGTATGTTGACTCTTTTGTACTTAACCTTTTAATTGCTTAATGATGTCTTTTGTATAAAGATTTGCAATATGATCAATGAATTTTAAAATCAATAAATATTAAAGTAAATGTAGCTAAGAGAAACGACATTGCAGTTAAACAACAAATACGAAATTTCTTTTAGTGAGAATTATTCTATTTACGATGCCAGTCAAGGTCAATAGAGCTCCAAGCTTTTGTGATTACCATAATGTTTATGAATAATTTAAATCATTCTTAAATAATTGAGTAATGTTTTGAAGTAAATATTCACTTCGTTTTTTACTTTTTATTGCCATCAGAAATTCATCATACAAATGATTACAAGCTTTCTCAAAACAGTAGATTTGTTACAAAAGCTTGAAGTTATCGGGTTTTCAAAAATTTTACTGTAGCTTATTGGAATTCATGTAATTTAACGAGTATAGCATCGATGTTGACCGCGGTAGCTTTAAACTACTAACATTGCTTCCTTCCTTTTTATGTGATAAGACAATATTGCCAAAAATCAGAAATGAAGCAAATGCAAACACATTGTAGCCAAATCAACTCGCTACACTTCTTGATCAACTTGGTTTTACAACACCTAACGATATATTTCGAGATATTTCTCCACTGTGATTGGCTTGCGGTGAGCATAATCTATCTCATACGACCCGAGAAATACAGCATTGGTGAGAAATGTAAGTTTGAAAGAACTATGAATAACGTTTATTGTAAGTCATTGTAAATCGTTAAAACTTGCGTTTCTACATATATTACGCATCGTACTATAAGTCAACTGGAGTTATAGCTGCACCAAGTATTATCTAAGTGACATTGTTGATTGAGATGTGTTGCCACAGTAGGGTGATTTTCGATAATGATTTGTAATGTATTGAAACGACGCGTATCATAATAGTATAGCTTTGTCTAAAATTACAACAACATCGGCAGAGATAAACAATATTAATCAGTGAATAATGTAAAGAGTTGTTTCAAGTAACTTTGCCATCCAAAGTGAATGCTAAGAGCTAATTCTCTGATTATCTATATTATATCTTTAAAAGCAAATTTTTAGCACTTTGCTGAATAAAATATATAAGACGTAACGGATCGTCCTTATTTTTACACATAGAATTACGTGTATTTAAAAGAGCAATTATGATATAATTAAGTATAAGACGTGCAGGAACCTGTCTGTCTGCATTAAGTCTTGCTGGCAACACAGTGGTCTACTGCTAATCGAGTCATACCACGCAATATTCTCTCAAGTGTGCAATTTATCAAGTGTACACGTGTACCAAGGTGAATGGTAAAAGCTCATTCTCTGATTATCTATTTGATATCTTTAAAAACAAATTTTTGGCACTTTGCTGACTAAAATATATAAGTCGGAACAGATCGTCTTTATTTTTACACGAATAATTACGTGTATTTGAAAGGGTAAATATGACACAAACAATGACTAGACTTACAGGAAGCTGTCTGCAGTGTTGCTACAATAGGGTGTTCTTCGATATTGATTGATAATGTAATGAAACGACGCGCATTATTTGTCGTAGGAATGATTAAAAACGACTAATATTTTATCAATGATTACAAATATCACGCGTTTATAAAGGTTAATATAATTCCATGAATGTTATGAGGTAGAGGAAAGGAGGTAATACTTTCAGCAAAAGTAATAAGATGTTTCCTAATTAAGATTACTGATGTAATATATAGATATATAACCCCATTAATGTCGCTAGGTTGTTGAGAGTCGTAGAGACAATGCAACCGTCTAAGATATGCGACTTAAATAGGCGTTCGAAAGCTTGCACCCATAAAAAATATTTGATTGTATGTTTGATGCTACTTCCTTTGGGTAGGTTTTATGTTAATATAAAAGCCACACGTTTCTCAATTTTTATTTAGATTTGTCAACACATGTATTCAAGCAGTATTAAGACAACGATGCTGACTATATTGACTTTGTTATGTGACCGTTTTCACAAAGCAACTATTTTGTTTCAAACCAGATTCGTTGCACACCACCAGCTAAATCTTTTTATACTTTATGAAATCTTAAATTGCTCTTTGGAAGAACTTTGGGGAAACACGTCCAGCATTCTACCCCAAGGACGCTACGACTAGCACGTATATAACGCAAAAACTGTCGGAAAACCACTAATCTATGAAAAAAACTTTAATCGAATTAATTGTATTATAGGAGTTGTCAAATAATGTAACAATAAACTATTTGCAATTTTAGCTTCAGCAAAATTGTTTCAACCAATTTAACACAAGGCCAGGTTCGACATAGTAACGCTAAAATCTTTCTTAGTAAATTGTAATCGAAAATTGTTTAATTATGCCAGTTGCAATTGACAAAGTTTTCACTGAAAGTTAGCTAACTTTTGACTGAAGTTACAGAAAGTTAAACAGTTTGCTTCGTTTGTAATTTTTTCAACATCTAAATTTAATGTATATTTGCTAAAATGCATGAGTACTCAACAAAACTGACTTTTTATTTCCTTCACCCGCAGTTAACAGAATCTTCAAAACGTAAACAAAAAGATACGTGATGTGCTTAATATAGCTATTAGTCATAATTGTAGCTCATTAATATTTCATTTAGAAGAGCTATAATAACAAGCATCGTTAAGACCATTCTCATATTTGCAAGTGTCCTTCAAGCAAGCATCATCTCAACACTTTGTTAGTGTGTTGAGAAGAAGTGAGTTGATAACAGAAGTAAAATATATATTTGAAACTGTAAGTAAATATAAAATATTGTATTCTTTTAAAACTACATTATCATTTAAAGATATTTTGAATTTTATTCAATCTACTGCTTTTAACGTTATAAATCCATTTGTGCGTTCGTCGCTTTGTCGGAAAATATCGTGAGTTGTTTTTCATTCGACATAAAGACTATAACAATGAATTCAAGCGCATATACATAGAGTATGAATGTAATGACACATTTCCTACAAAGATCAAGCAGAAGTCATTGACGTTCTCTGAACGATATTTTAGGCACGTCAGAAAACTTTTTTGAAACAGAATTATAGCAAAAACGCTTTCTGGTGAAAAAACTTTTAAAAGTAGTGATAAATCTAAATGACGTTACTTTCCTTGATGCAAGAACCGTGGAAGTGAGGCTTGAGCACAGTCAAGTGACATGCAGTCTAAGCTAGAGCGTTCGAAAAATGCAGAAAAAGTCAAACAATTAATTGATCGGACAACTAAATAAAATTTTCAAATCTTAAACAAATTTGAGGAAAATAATGTTAAATATACAGTTTTATTTTAATAAGGCTCATTTTATCTACTTCATTTAGTAATAATATACTTGTTAAGCACGCACATGCACCCAATGCGTACCTATTTTTTCGTCTTTTTGTTTAAAAAATGAAATAGTCAATAAAAAGTTTGCAGATGTGCATGTTATGATGATTTGACTGAACTATCCCGTTTTTACTAAAGAAGGACAATTTTAGGAAACACCTCGTTTGCTTTAGACCATAAACCATGACCAGCCGACAATTTAAAGACATATAGTATAACAAGCAAATTGCAAAAATTGTTTTTCCCTTTCGGACTCTTTTGACGTAGTAACTAATGTTAATAACATTCCTAAACAAGTATTTGCTGAAGGCCACCAATTGTTTTATTCGACGTTGAATCGTTTTTTTACCAACGTTCCATCCCATTTGTTCGAATTGTTGATAAATTTTGTCTCTCTTTATCCGGGAGACTTGTGCAAAAAATAGTATATTTATTCGTCCATAATATATATACTCACAAAGTTTACAGATAACAGCAAAAAATTATATTAAAACCTTTAATATAATTGGCAAGATTTTTTTCATTGAAAATTAGCTACTTTATCCCTTTACTTTCCACTTTTGGCAAATTGCATTTAGCATGGTTTCCAAATAGTGTCATACGGCAACCTGAGAAAGAAACGGTTAGAACAAATAGAATCTTATTAAAGTATTCTAAAGTGAAAGTTAGACGACTACAATTAACTTTATTTATATTGTATCTGTACCTGTTATTTTTTGTTTTACTTTGTTTAGACTGCAATATGTAGCTGTCAATTTTGTTAAAAATGTACGATATTAGTTTTCAAAAAAACTCAGCTGTTGTCACAAACAACAGTGCTAAGCCTGAATAATAAAAAAATACCCTCTTTAATCTCATGACACTAAATGGTAAATCATTCTCTTCTTAAAGTGTCAACACACAATTATTTTTTAGCAACACACTAATGTGTAAACACACTAATGTGTAAAAAATGGTCTTAACTACTGAAATGTTTATAACATTTAGTTTTAGATTTTACTTCCATCACTTTAGTATTTAATACCGAAAAACATTTATCTGAAAGCGATTAACATTTCACCATGAGTGTGTTTATCGGCACGGATGTATTTTCATTTTGTATGGCTTTTAACCTAAATTAAAACTTGATCAAGAAGCGGTCGTTAACTTCGTGTGCATTAATGAATGGTTTTTAGTAATAAATAATTGCAAGTATTTAAAAGATATAGTTTTAGCTTTTATATCGTTTTATAATTATGTACTGTATAACAGCTACTTTTAGTATTATGTTTATATCTTGTAGTTTAATTTATTTAGAGTTCAATTTCATAATGATGGTTGACTGAATTCAAAACCTTTTACAAACACGCGGGTAAAAACTTTCTACGCTTTACGCGATAAGGCTCCTAGTCAACAAAGTTATCTTAACATGCTTATCAAACGTGGCCAATGTGTTTTCATTGATTTACAATATTTTATATTAAAGAAATGATCCAATGCACTAATAGCAAAAACAGGAAAGAATTTCTTTGTGTAAGTTACTAATTAAATTATAAACTAAACAATAAGGAGGGCGGAAAATAGATTGTAAATATTTGAGTATCACTTCGGAAATGTGAAGTATAGAAAACTCTCCAGTTAGGTGTATTTAGGAACCGGTGCCAAGTACGTACACGAAGCAGTTTTGTCGGAAATGCAATGTAGATGTCTTTGATTAGTCACATGCAAGTAAAAATTTATATATAATATAAAATTATCACCCATCTAAGCTTGATGCAGCAATATGGGAATTTAATATCATCACCATTCAGCTTTCTGTTAGTTTTGTTTTTCTCTCTCTCAAGAAAATGGTAACACTTCTAAATTCTCCTTTGACGTACTTTACGTAAATACGTCATTTGTATTTGCATTTAAGTGCTGGAAACTTCATTCCGTTTGACATTACAAAATTTTGCGTGTCTAAATAAGTGCCAGCACTAATTTGTGATCTTTTGTGAAGCATTGATAAAACTGTCTGCTCTTTTTCATATGACGCACTAATTAATGACTTTATAATCATTCAACTTATGACAATCTCCTGGTTGAAACAATGTATTTCGTACGTCGATAACTAGTTAACAGGAAACTTCTAGTTGCTAAATGTCATTAGTTACTTCATAAGTTGAAATCTGGTGCAAAGTCAGTTCAAGCCACATTTGGCTCAATCAGTTGGAGTCAGGTGACGATATAAACTATAGAAATCTGTTGCCAATGCGCTAACTTTTTAATGCCTGAACTAAATTAGAGCCTTACCAAAGCCAAGTTAACATTGGACATATGTACTGCCCAACCAAAAGTATAATTTTATCTGTTGTAATAAAGGGAATAAAACTACGTACAAAGAACGGCCAAGCAAAGCTACGCATTTCCCTCCGTGTTAAATGTTCGTAACAGAGTGTATTAAAGAAAGGTAATGCAACTTCAGGCACTGGTGTGCATAAAATACTGAGTAAACAAAAGCAATATTTCAATATGTTGTGATGTTTTTTTTTGTATAATATGGAAGAGCAATAAGCAAATGTAACAGAGTTTAAAACGTTTAATCGAAATCGCATTGTTTCTCCTCCGCGTCAGGATGGACAAAAAGAAAATTAATAAATAAGTTCATTCAAATGATATCAAAAGAACTCAAATTTATTTAGCATTCTTAAAACAAATTTAAATGGATACTAAAAGTTTTACACATTTGCCTAAATGTTTTGTATAATTGTATGACAATTGTTCAAACACCATTATTTGTAACATACCGTTTAAAAATCCGTCCTAACTTTTACATAATAAGAAAATCAGCATAACATGCATATTCCAAAATTCATGAAGCACGCATAAATAATAAGATGTAAGTGCCGAAGGTGCAAAACAATTTTTCTTTTCAATGGAGTTATACAACACAAATCTAATAGGTAAAAAAGATGATTTCTACCAAAGCATTTTAACGTGCTGGAATTTACCATTTTGCTTTAAATGCAACAAACAATTTGACATTCTATAGTTCGAAGTCTGGGGTTTCATAATAATTCAAAACTATGGTCGTTTATTCAGTAATGTTAACAAATTAGCGCGTTGAATTTCGATTAACTTCTTTTTTGACAACCTAAATATTAGCAGTTATTGTATTCTACATAAGAAATGTCCCTGCAGAGGAAACATTGATCTCGTCTGGATTACTGCAGACTAAGAGTTTTGTTTATTTAGACGCTACAAATGATCTTTAATATTTGAAGTAGGGACATCCTGCTGATTCAAGTTTTAAAAATGTAAATTTTAGAGATGTGACAGAAATTTCATCAGACTGGGGTTGTTATAAAGCACCTTTCGCATTGTATCGGTTTTATTTAGGCTGTGCATCTTGTTGTCAGTTGATGATTAGAAGAAGCTGTGTTGGATAAAGCGTACGCAATGAAGTCAAGTCTCACTATTTTGTCTGCCGTTCTGCTCTTAATGGTATGTGTAAGTTACAGCAAATGTTCTAAAAGCTAACGGCCTGAACCACCAAACTAAAAGCTTTAAATAAATGAAGTAGTCCATAAATACACATTAATTTATTCATACTTACTACTATATCATATAATTATTACAGACGGCAGTTAGCCATCTTGGCTAATAGCTACTTATCTCTGCGGAATAGCTCTGATAGTCTCAATGCATTGATTTTTCGTTAAGGTCCGTTCATGTAAAGAGGGAGGGATGTACTTCCAACTACTTAGAGGAGGTTTAGTTTTGCGATATATTTTTTGACTTAAGTATTTGAAAATGTGTCGAACAACAGATCGCATTTATTATCATTAAGTGTTATCCCGGATTAATAAAATATATGTAGATATGAAGCACTTATTGTCACAAATTTTCTAAATTCTATATCGTTTTACCGTTTAGGTCATTGCCACAAAGGCAAAGAAAGGTAAAGTGAGATAGTAATAAGAGAACTTTTTATAAGAATGGATTTACATTATTAACCGAAATTTAAGTGTTTGCATTCAAATGATTCAAAATGAATATTTTTGCTCTTTAAATTAACATTCTTATTAAGTTGTTCGGTGTTGTGAGCGACAGTTACGTTCCTCAATGTTCACTATTCTAAACTTTTGTATTTGCTGAGTCTGCCATTTAAGATAATGTTAATGATTTTTTACTCCTATAACGTTTTTGAAACAATGTGATGCACAAAGTTGTCTTTGGACAGAGGCGTAAGTAGAACGTTATTTGGGGGTGGGGGTGAGGTGCATATTCTGATATTCCGTTTTGCCCTTCTGAATTTCACTGATATGCTGTGTGTTTCTTTGTCATACTTATGAGCCCTGTCCTAGGACGAAACAGTCCAGGACTGAAGGATATTTGATGCTTTTGATATAACAGCAACAACAAGAACAAAGGCAAGCGTTGATTTTCCTTTTAGCTTCATTGCATAGAAATGCTCTGACCTGCTTTTACTCAAATACAACCAGTAAATTTTTTCAATTTGAACCACTACTTTTCCTAATTTTTTAAAAGTTGTTATTTAAAAAAAAAATTAAAAGCTTCATCATGTGATTATAAAGCCTATCGACATTTTTATCTCATTTCTCAACCAATACAGCCAAAAGGGAAATCAAAGCTTGCCCTTGTTGTTGTTGTTTTTATTGCTGTACCAAAAGCAATTGATTTTGCAGCATTTTTTGGTTCTGCTGTCTCTGCAATTCCATAAAACTCTCAAATTGCTTGTTTTGCTTTTCCATCAATTGCTCCCCGCTTTCTTTTTCTGCTGCTGTTTGTTGCCTCTGCAATTTTAATCTTTGTCTTTTTTATAAAGCAAACTGTCCTCTTTTACTTTTCTCTCTTTCTCAGCCTTCTCTTTTAGGAAATCTAAGGTGGAGTTCCCCCTTCTTCCTACTTTTTTCTCAACCAGACCCTCGTCATTTTCTTTTCTCGGCTTGGTTTCTACTATATGCTCCATCGTTCTTTCTCGCATTTCTTCTGAATCTAGTTTATTAGAATCAGTTTTCTTCCTTTCACCAGCATTGACTTCAACAGCCGCAATATTATTTGCCTCCTTTCTTGCATTAATTTCTTCTAGCAAGTCATCCAGCTCATCATGTTCTGGAGAAATACCTCTTGCAGCTCTTTCTTCTCTCTCTTTTTACGGTAAATGGCTATCAATTTCTGCATGCGATCTCTAAATGATCGCTGATCTACTTGAAAGCATGGATAGTCATGAAGTTCCAACTTTCTGGCAATGCTCTTCCACAACTTTCTTCTTGCGATATATTTATTCTTTGTCTCAAAGATTGGTGACACCACTATCTCTTTGCACAATTCAATTTCATGTTTTGTAGTCCATTTCATCACAAAGCCAATTTTAAACAGAATTTATACAAGATGAGTAAGAATCCAGGAATATACATAGTCAATTCTCTAAGGTAGAACCTGCATAAAAATGGTTAAAAGTACTAGTATAATATACTGACATATCTAATTTAGTATAAATTAGAAATATTTGGATGTATAATATTTCATACATGTTTCAATACTTTGTCAACGTAAAAGTTAAAGTTCACAGAGTGTCTAATGCACATTAATATCCAAAACTTTGTAAGGGCTTTATTCCTTCCCATAATTGAAAAAAACAACATGGTAGCAGCAAAGATTACATGCTCTGTTATTGATTTGATTAAAATTATCAGTATCTACTGATATCATAGGATTTCATTGCCTTTCTCGCCATAGAAAAAAAATGTTTAACTTACGGTGAACTTCTTGAGTAAGATGCTTCAGAAGTCTACTTGAAGTAAGAATTGCCTATTACAAACAAAAAGAGGTTACTAAACATCTAATACAAAATAAACATAATCAGAAAAAAGGTACGTCGTATACTTAAATCTAAAGCACTATTTGCTTGAACCAAGGTCATTTAATTTGTTTAAACTATTTGAAATGTTTTGGATCTGACTTAAATTTGAGTATACAAGATGTCTTTAAGATTATGTTTATTATATTTTTTTTACTTAATGTCTATGGCTTGGCAGTTAGGCATTTTATCGTTTGACAGAAGTAAAGCACATTTTCACTTAGCAGACTAGCAGAAATACTACTTTTCAACCTTTTTATGTTCTCTACTTCGCAAGATGGTCTTCCGCTCTACGACGACTCCAAAACATGTAAAAACACCGCGTCGTACGTTTGCAAACAAAAACGACGCTTGCGCATTCGCTTTTGTCTTAATTGTACTTCCGTTCGCGTTGTTGACAAAGCGCGTCGTAAAATCTTAAGGTCACTAATAACTTTGGCAAAACGAGTTAATCGGATGTCTCATTCAAAAAAAGTGAAGCGAGTTAATCATAGGATTTATAGAACAGGTCATTAACCTATTTTCAATGCTAGTTAAATTATTGTGCATAATCAGTGAATTCATGATAATGTGGGCTGGTTTTGTTTTATCTGAGATACCCTGTAGTCTGTAGATGGTCATTGTTGCTCCAAGACAGGCATTTACTCTAATTGAACAAGCCATTAAGCATTTCGTTTGTGAGTATTTTTATCAGGTGCCATAAATATTTACATGAAATGTTAAGGCTTTTGTTGATTGAATCATTAATATTTTTTACTGATAACATATTATATGTATATCAGGCGTTAATACTTGTCAGATTAGCTAAAATAAATTCTATGACCTTCGTTCGTTATAACTTTTACGAATGCGACAGAGGATTAATATTTGGGGCATGCACGAGATAATCGCAATGAAACAAAATTAAAAAATTCCAATTAAAGTTTTTATATTACTCATTCTTATCTTAATTTAATCTTTATCAGGAATTGCAGCAAGTGGTTGTGTTAACGCAAACTGGTGGAAATCATTTGATAAAAAAGGATGGTCAAAATGTGACAATGCGAAACAATTTATTACTGGATTTTACCGAAGCAAGTTAAATAAATTCAATAATGATGGAATTTATAAACTTGAAGAAGCGAAATGCTGCCCTTCTAGTTCATTACACGCAGGGCAACGAAGTACATGCAAAAATGCTAACTGGTGGAAATCACTTGACAAGTAAGTAATCTCTCTTCGGCTTACTTATGAGATGCAAAAAAAGTCACAAGTTCTTACAGTTGGCTTTACCATTTTAGAACGCTGCAATGCAGCCATATGATCTTTAAATTTTAAAGAATAGGTAATAGGATAACATGAAAAGCATATCATGTGAAAGATTTTTTCAACCAGAAATTTACTTAGTTTTGCCATGAATGAAACATTGTTTATTATTAACTTATCTTGTGGTTCTTAAAGTTTTTATCCAAATTATACACATTATGAATAACAATAACAAATTATTTTTCAGGGCCAGTACCTGGAGTGTTTGTCCAAACGGATATTTCCTAAATGGACTCTATCGCACCAAAGGCCAAAGATTACACAATATTGAGGAAGGAAACTGTTGCAAGCCTGTCAATCATCCAAACAAGTATGCTCACTGTTACAATGAGTACATCAGACATGAGTTTGACAAGAAAGGTTGGACCACATGTAAAAAAGCTGGATATTACGTCACTGGGTTGTACAAAGATCATAATGGTGACTGGCTTCACAACATAGACTACTTCAGATGCTGTAAAATGTGGACTGGTAAGTATCTGGAATGTTGAAATATAAATTAAGTTTTTTTTATGTGATCTTGCTTCAGTTTAACAATTATCGTTTAAGTAGAGAATATACAAAATAAGGAAAACTATCCAATAAAGAATAAGACAATTTCTATGTGCGATAACAACCAATGAGCTCATGATTTTACCTTTTTAGGATAGGCATGTCAAAAAGTCAAGAGAGTCAATCATAGGATTTATAGAAAAAATGCATGAACCTATTTTGAATGCTAGTTAAATTATTGGGCATAATCATTGCAGTGAATTCATAATAATATGTACGGGTTTCGTTTTCTCTGAGATACCCTGTAGTCTGTAGATGGTCATTGCTGCTCCCATTCAGGCATTTACTCTAATTGAATAAGCCATTAAGAATCTTTTTGTGAGTATTTTAATTAGGTTTTATAAATATTTACATGAAATGTTACGACTTTAGTTGATTGATTGATTGATATTTCTTCCGATAATATATTATACGTGTATCAGGCGTTAATACTTGTCAGACTAGCTGAAATTAATTCTATGATCTTCGTTCGTTACAACTTTTACGAATGCGACAGAGGATTAATATTTTTAGCATGCACGAGATAATCGCAATGAAACAAAATTAAAAAATTCCAATTAAAATCTTTATATTACTCATTCTTATGTTAATCTAATTTTAATCAGGAATTGCAGCAAGTGGTTGTGTGAACGCAAACTGGTGGAAATCATTTGATAAAAAAGGATGGTCAAAATGTGACAATACAAAACAATTTATTACTGGATTTTACCGAAACAAGTTAAAAAAATTCAGTAATGATGGAATTTACAAACTTGAAGAAGCAAAGTGCTGTTTGTCTAGTCCTGGATACAGAGGTCAACAGAGCATTTGTGTCAACGCTAACTGGTGGATAACTTTAGACAAGTTAGTATGTTTTAGATTTAATTAACTTTGAGTGCTTATTTTATACCTTAAATTGAGTTACGTGTCCGAACTTTTTGAGGGTCATGTTTGCTCATTTTATGTTTTCTCGTGAACGGAAGTCGACAAGTCATCAATTATTTTCATTCCCATGCTCTAAATGTGTATTCGTCGTGACATAAATTTACCAAACATCAAACATTGGTGGCCAAGTTTGCATAGAAAGTGCCAAAAGTAGCCCCTTTGCAACATATTGGGAGAAATTTTTTAAAATTAAGTTCTTTATATTACGTCGATAAAGATTATAAAATTTTGCAAGGTCGTTACATTCGATTAAAGTCTTGAAATTATAATAGGTATAGATACCCTGTCAATCACGGCGTTATTTTAAAATTCTTGAAGTTCAAGTACTTGAACTTGTCTAAGGGAAATTATATTTAGTATGGGCTAGTTATATTTTTGTTAACTGAAACAGTAAAATTTCACTTACTTGAATACAAAATAGAATAATAAATGTCTTGTGTGTCGTTATTTCATCAAACATAAGAAAAACTTCTGCGTCTTGTACACACAATGTGAGTTAATCATAAAACTCAGTAAACTTTGCAGTTAGTTTTAACTAAACATTAAAAATTTTTTTAGAAAAAGCACTTGGAGTGTTTGCCCTCAAGGATATTTTCTAAATGGTCTTTATCGCACCAAAGGCCAAAACTTACACAATATTGAGGAAGGAAAATGCTGCAAACCAATACGCCATCCCAATAGGTATGGTGGTTGCTATAATGAATATATCAGACATGAGTTTGACAGGAAAGGATGGACAACGTGTAAAAAGGCTGGTTACTACGTCACTGGGTTGTACAGAGATCATAATGGTGACTGGCTTCACAACATTGACTACTTCAAATGCTGCAAAATGGCCCCAGGTAAAATATTAAAATTATTAGTTTGAAAAGTTAAATATATGAACATATTAAAGAGAGCTATTCCAAAATAGAGAACAACATTGAGTTCTCAGGAATTGAGTACCATATAGAAACAGATAGAATACGTTCAAAAGCATAGCATTTTTATGATTTATTTCTTTTTATTTAGTTTTCAACCCATGTGCTAAGAAACCTTGCAAGAATGGTGGTCTTTGTTTAAAAAAAATCAAATCTTACCAGTGTTTATGTAAACCTGGCTACCAAGGAAAAAATTGTGGAAGTAAGTATGATTTGTAAATGATATTTCCTCGTCCCTGGTTTTTAAGCATTTGTGCCGTCAAACTATAACAAAATTATTGATGGTAAACTATAACTTACACGTTTAATTTTTTGAACTTTTTCTGCACTAGCTACCGTAAATTAAGTTTAAATTTTGTAATGCGTTTAAAATTTTCTTTCATGTCGCAATATGTCCTAAATCACAACAGACAAGCAGGAAGTGTTTTACAAATAAAGCTTTAATTAATTCTTAAAAACATTTGCACGTGGGATTAGTCTCGACTAGAGGGGACCTAAGGCTATTGGCCCGAAAAATTTACGCGAAAAACGAAAATTTTACCCCCAAACACAACTTTTTTTCCCAAAAAGTGGACATCTCAAAACGTTTAAGAGGAAATGAGAGACTGCAACCCTTTAGCAACCAAGCTTCTTACACCTATGCTAATAAAGCATGTACTGTTACATGGCTGATGTGATATATTGCTGCACATGTGATGTTGCATTGCCATTAGTTCATAATTGCGATCATCATTGCCATTAGTTTATTCAAATTATGAAAAGTGCACTCCTGACAGTCTTATGCTTAAATTTATTGCGTTGCATAAACTGAGAAACAATCTTATAAAATCATGACTAAACTTTATGGACAACAATTAAACGCTTTTCAAATTCAAATAGTTCAAACCATATTTTTAATTTAAGTCTACAATGCTTGTCATACAAAACCTTGTATTAACGGTGATAAATTTCAAAGAAAATGAAAGTTGCACAATTGCAAATGTAGACCTGGTTACTTTGGAAAGAGCTGTCAATGTAAGCATAAGTTAGTGTATTCAACTCTTCTAATCTTAATGATAAAACAGTTTCAATAAGACTTTATAACAACTGTAGTTCCTGCGCTTACTAACTATATATAATAAGATTTTGCATATTGGGCTCGTTCATTTGATGATATTTAACAAACCATTTAGCAAACCATCATAAAACTTTTTTTAAAATACAATTAATAAACTTTCACTTGTTTTACTTTTAGTCTACAATGCTTGTCATACAAAACCTTGTATTAACGGTGGTAAATGTCAAAGGAAAGGAAAGTTGTACAATTGCAAATGTAAACGTGGTTACTTTGGAAAGAACTGTCAATGTAAGCAAGAGTTAGTGTATTCAACTCTACTAATCTTAATGATAGAACAGTGTTTCAATAACACTTTACAATAACTCAAATTTAATCTCTTAAAGTAGTTTTTAGTAGATTCAGCTGAACTTCTCATTTGCTGCAATCAACGTTTGCCCATTAAACTGCAAATAAGAGCACGTTATGCAGTGATGCTTGTGTGTTACCATTATCTCAAGAATTAGTTAGATTGCTCTCCTTAAAATTCTTTGGTATTCTCGAAACCTTCATGTGAATGAGTTTTTTTGATCTCCAGAATTGTAATGTAAAGGCATAATTTTTTGAACTCTTGTCATTTTTATAGGAATAATCTAGATGCGCAAAAATAGATGCCCAGAAAAGATGAGCATATAATTACTCTCCTAAAATTAATTAAAATTGCAACAGCTCATTCTTGTTTTTACACAGCAAAATTTCACCATGGCATTGAATGATGCGACTGGATTATGTCAAAGTAATAGTGTTACTGTTACCATTACATCTATAGATACGTTTATACCGAGTCGTTGCGTTAACGCCAACTGGTGGTTATCATTTGACAAAAAAGGATGGTCAAAATGTGACAATGCGAGACAATTTATAACTGGATTTTACCGAAACAAGTTAAAAAAATTCAATAATGATGGAATTTATAAACTTGAAGAAGCGAAATGCTGCACTTCCAGTTCACTATACGCAGGGCAACGAAGTACATGCAAAAATGCTAACTGGTGGAAATCACTTGACAAGTAAGTAATCTCTCTTCGGCTTACTTATGAGATGCAAAAAAAGTCACAAGTTGGCATTACTAATTTAGAACGCTGCAATGCAGCCATATGATCTTTAAATTTTAAAGAATAGGTAATAGGATAACATGTAAAGCATATCATGTGAAAGATTTTTTCAACCAGAAATTTACTTAGTTTTGCCATGAATGAAGCATTGTTTATTATTAACTTATCTTGTGGTTCTTAAAGTTTTTATCCAAATTATACACATTATGAATAACAATAACAAATTATTTTTCAGGGCCAGTACCTGGAGTGTTTGTCCAAACGGATATTTCCTAAATGGACTCTATCGCACCAAAGGCCAAAGATTACACAATATTGAGGAAGGAAACTGTTGCAAGCCTGTCAATCATCCAAACAAGTATGCTCACTGTTACAATGAGTACATCAGACATGAGTTTGACAAGAAAGGATGGACCACTTGTAAAAAAGCTGGATATTACGTCACTGGGTTGTACAAAGATCATAAAGGTGACTGGCTTCACAACATAGACTACTTCAGATGCTGTAAAATGTGGACTGGTAAGTATCTGGAATGTTGAAATATAAATTAAGTTTTTTTTATGTGATCTTGCTTCAGTTTAACAATTATCGTTTAAGTAGAGAATATACAAAATAGGGAAAACTATCCAATAAAGAATAAGGCAATTTCTATTGGCGATATCAACCAATGAATTCATGATTTTACTTTTTTTAGGATAGGCATGGTGGCCAGGAGTACTTTACATGACTGTTAAAGAAGATGGAAAGATTAAATTGATTCTTCAAACTAATTTTTAAATGTAATTGTTTGGTTTTTACATTTAATAAAACTTGGCATTAAAAATTATTACTTTGCGGTTTTGTCTAAAATAGAGAAATAAAATAAACCCTGTTTGAGGAGCAAAAGAAAGCACAATTTTTACTGACATCAAATTTTTCATCAAAGGGTAATGACTCGTGTGTGATGTAATGATACAGATTTGGCTAAAGATATCTGCCTTCGGCATACTATTAAGAAATTGTCTTTAAGTCAAAGTTTCTTATTTTATGGCTACAAAAACGTTTCTCTTGCTTATACTATTCAATGAAATGTTATAAGACAATAAGAAACAAGAGGAAAGGGAGCAGTTTAAATGCAAAGCAGGAGAATGTGCTTAAAAGTAAACTATGTTTACATTGTAGCTTTTGATGTAGAATGTTAATTTTTATTTAAAATTAACCACTGATTATTGCGGACTTGATGTGCATTATACGAACACGTCTTTATTCTTTGCTGTAAGTGTACTATTCGGTTTGTTTCATTGATAACATTGTGCTTGCACGTGACGTCACAGTTTTGCCTACCGCCATTGAGGGTGGGGTATAGAACTAAAATGGCAGACTGTAATATTGCCTGGGTTAAACTTTTTCACTGATTTTATTTAATAATTGTTCGTGGTGAGGATTGCAAACCTTGTGTTGACCATTGGGCATTAGCATGTTTCGTGAGAAAAGTATTGCTAAGTTTTCCTACTTATGTATTGCATAATTTACCAGTGGTATAACTTGGACACTTTGTATGTGTTTTTAACAACGTACTTGCCAAGTATGCGTCGAATCAAAGACGTTGCAAGGCTTCATACACCAATTTATGACACATAATTGATCGGTTGTAGTGCTTTCCGGACAAGACACCTCTTATTGATCCAACGCTGATAATTCCCGATTCAATGAGCACATCCTACAAGGAAATTGAGTACAATGATGCGACTTGGAAACCCAATGTTAAATATGACAAGGATGGCCTCCTGCTGTTAAACAAAATACATTCTAAATTGTAAAGTTTTATTGTTAAGAAATACTCGTTCGCTTGAAAATAGCGAGTTTCTAAGAAAATCTAGGCAATTATCTTCAAACCAACATGTTCGAAGCGTTTTGATAAGGCAGAAAAGTAGCTCATGCTGGCATGGAACTCTCCTAGTCTAACAACAAGTCGGTCATAAAAAAGCTGTTTTTTCCACCTAATATTTTGTATTTTAACATAAACTGCTTCATCAAACACAAGGACAGCTTTTTCAAACGTAATTTTTCAATTATTCTTATGGCGGACTTTAGCTCTTCATTTAGAGTTGAGTATTCTGTTGGGGAAGCATCCACTATTGGAAGATAACCAACTCTTGACACATTAGGTATGGTATCTTTTTGCAGTATAGTGTTAAATCCGGACCATCCCGGCCAGAGGTTGTCTTCATTCGTAGTAAAATATTTTATCATGCAGTACGCAAGGTTTAGTTTTCGACATTTGAGAGTGAAGTCATTGCTCTCCAGAGGCTGCATAACTGACTTGTCTAGGGTAGATCCATCAAATGTAGGAGTTTTCTTTGTAGCAATACCATAAGGTGCCAGAGTTACTAGAGGAGCTACTACTGTACGTTGGGTTTTCTTAATTGGTACTTGGCATTCTCTTGTAGGGCATTCAAGCTTGTGAAACGTTTCCAGCACAACTTTTTGGATGACGATAACTGTTTTAAAGAAGAACATGTCAGATGATCAAAAAGCTTCTAAAATAAAAAAGCTTTGCATAATTTGAAACTGTTCTAATTTCGACTGGTAATATGACTGACATACCATTTGTCACATGTGTTTGTTTTGTAGCATCATCTTGGAAATCGATACTATCATACACAAAGGTGATATGCTTTCCCTGTACAAAAACTTTGGGAATGGTATCCAAACTATTAATCGTCGATTGGGCAATAGCAGATTCATAAGCCACGGTTGATGGTAAAGATACGCAATGACCAAGACCATTAAGTAGTGTAATTAAGCTGGAGCAACCAGACATTTGTCGAACTGCCATGGCTAATGACAAATATTTTGGAGTCTGCACTTTCCCACTGCTTAAAATATATATCAAATCTTGGCAGAAAGAAAATTGCAGCCTTGAGATCTTGCTTTTCCTGTATTTGAACATAACCAGCTCGTTCTGGCTCATCAGAAAAGCCAAGCAGGCATGCAACAAAGTTAAATACCATTGGCGACACTATTTTTTTCACGCTCTCCAAAGTAATATCAGAAGCTAGTGGAGGCCATGTGTCATACCAGGATACTGAATTCGTGGATTCAAATTCCTTTCTTAATGCCAATGCAACATTATAAATTTCATGCAGCGTAGTGCCTGCCCTGTACACTGCATCTGGCAAGAAATGTTCAGGTTCCCCACCATCATCGGAAGTTTCTGTTCACATTTTATCAGCAAAAGGAATATTCTCTACCATCGAACTTGGTTGAATGCAACCTGAGTAAACCATCTCACTTTTGTTACGCTGTTTAGGGGTTTGAAATATTAGTTATGGAAACCCTTTTTTTTATTCGTTGCTTTAATCGACTTGTTTTATAATTCGTTGCATCTACATTTTCAACATATGCAACAAATTTAACAAACTTTTCTTTAACCTTTGCCATGTAGAAAATACTTTCTTCTTGTGTTATGTGCACTTTAATGAACTCTTCACAAAAAGCATCAAACCCTTCATTGTATATAGGTATTTGAGTAGATTTTTCACATTCAGCAGGGTCAACTTTATGGTGTTTGAGGGATGAAGTGTGATTTTGATAACATCTGTGATGATACTTTACTTCTAAAGCAACAGAGTCTTTTCCTCTAATGTGTTTCAAAATAATTTCATCACCGTTAATTTCTGCTGCTTTCCTATGTCGACCACCATCTAGTGTTCTTGCTGTATAAAGTAAATCCCGTTTCCCGCTTCTTACTTATCTAAATAAAAATTGTGTGAAAACTGATGTAGAATTAGCATAAAAAAATATTTCACATAATGGTTTAAATTCACAGCAGTGGTGACGCCAAGAATTCCCCGACAGAGGGGCTTAGGTCCCCGATGGGGGTACTGACTTACTTGGCTTGTGTGACAATGCGCTTCCCGTGCAAATCTTTTTTTTCAGAGAAAATTTCAAAAAATTATTATAAATCCTTGCTTTAACATAACCTATGAGTTTGTTTAAGAATTAATAATTTACATCTACAAGAAAAATTAACATCACGTAATAGACTAGTAACAGACCAGTTCTTAGTGCTACAACTAAATGCTAATTTGGAGATGATGGTGTTTACTCATGTATTCAGTTGTGGCTGATTTGAAATTGAAGCAATAGGTTTTTTTTGCAGTTTTTTTTACAAAAAATTCCCTATCCAAATTCGAAAGTCAAGTTGCAAAAAACAACTTCTGCTCCTCAGCTCCCTTCTCTAGTGCCACCCGTGCGTGATTTACAGCTACGTTTACCTAGCGTGTCAGTGTAGTATGAATGCTCTTTCTTGCAAATGACACAGGTTGGAGGTAACACGTGCTGGCTCTTTGCCTTAATTCTTTCACCAGTGAATGATTTTGATCGCAGCATTATCTTTTCTAGAGGTGGTCTTTCCTGCTGTACAGACGTAGAAGGCTCGGTATCGGTTGACGGTTTTGCACTCTTTTCAGAGCGTCGTTGTGCTCGATGTATTAATATTTTATTCGTAATGCTGAATAACAACGTAAATGGTAAAAGTAACGCTCGTAATTTCCCAAGTTATCCTCTAACTCCTCGATAGGAATCACATTCGTGGTTTTCATGTCTACGTCTTTCTGTCGTCCATCAAGTTGTAGCCATTGCTTTCTGCATTCCAGGAACCGTTTAAACGATGTTGGTGTAAAATTCGTCAGTGTTCCGCCGTCATCTTTGCAATGAATGAAACACGAATGCCTTTCCTCCATGTTTATTAACAAAACATTGGCGCTTTCAAGCCTTTCATGTATGAATTTTAAATGAAGCTATGTTGTGTATGCTACATGAAGTTCCTCACCAAAAAATTGGCGATTTTCGAAATTATAGGAGCGAGGAATTTTGAAATTCAACCGCGAAATACTAAAAAACTGCAGCTTTTCAGAAGTGACAATAAAAAGAATATCAAAAAACAAGTGACTTTCTATCTATTTTGAAAATTTTGCGTCCTTTCTTGAGGTGTCCAACGAAACTCATTTTTAAAGCATACTTTTGAGGCACAGATCACGGACTGTAAAGATATTTTGAAAGTTCATACGTAGGTGATCCTGGAAGCGATACGATAGTTCGAAGTAGGTTGTTTTCTTTGTGGATTTTTGGTAGTTCGTAGAATTTGGCGGGGGATGCGTCATTTGGGTCGGATTCTTCTGTAGTCGTTTTCGTTTAGTTTCTTTTTGTCTTTTTGTTGTTTCAGTATCTGATTGATGCGGTTGGTGGTCATTTGCTGCGGTCTGCGTGGAGAGGTTCGTAGGTGGTGGTGTCTTGTAGGAGGGTAACTGTTTTGCGTCCTTTGTCAGCTCGTAATATGATTATTTGGTCGTCGTTTTGTATGTTTTTAATTGCTCGTAGTTCTTCGTAGTTTAGGGTGACAGGTGGTTTGAGACAGAGGTTATTTGTGATTTTGTAACGAATGTCTTCTTTTGTTTGGTCTGTTAAGTTGGTGTACTTCTAAGCGGATTCCAGGTCAGCAACGTAGTCAAAATTGTTTGCGTTTTTAAAGATGTAGTTTAGTCATTTGTCTAAAATTTTAGTTTGCTGTTCGGCTAGTGGTTTGTTCGAGATGTTTGTGACAAATTCGTTTGTGTTGGGATGCAGTTGTTTGTAAGATCTGTATTCTCGTAATTTTCGATGAAGATCGTGGTGTCGTTTTGTTCTATATGCGGATGTTGCTTTTTTAATGGCTTCATTAATGGATTTGGCGTCTGATTGTGTAGTGTATCCTGTTACGGTCTCTCGATGTTCTTCTAGTTTATGTCGGTAGATCCGTAAGTGGTTGTGGGCATCTGATATGAGGACATTTAACATACGGCG